AAGTCCAACAATTAAATCTTTTTTCAACCAACAAATAAAAAGAAATCTTTTCAGTTTATTTGTAAAAGTCATAAAAATGACCAAAGTATGAAACTCGTGTTCTTGCAAAGCTCATAAAAAATAAAGAGATAAATATCTAAGCAATTTAAAATAAATGAAACATGAAGCTAAAACCTTTTGAAACATCGTCGGCACTGAATGTAAAACAGCAGCTGCTCGTTTCACCCTCGCCCTCGAATAAAGAAAAGCAGCAATCATGGCTGCACAGTTCTGCTGTTTAAATGATGAATTTTCAAATGAAATCTGCTCTGCGTTACATTCATATTAAATGTTTATGAACCTCGCTCTCAGGTGTAAACCCAGCAGTTTGTTCCTGCAGCAGCATCCTACCTGCTCAGAGGTGAGGAGTTTCCCTCAGCGGTGCTGAAGTCTCGTCTCAGTCCGGCTCTCTCGCTGACTGACCGGCAGGAGGAGGACGAGGAGGGTGATGGACGGAGAGAGAGAGGAGGGGAGGAGGAGTGCAGTAAAATTTTCTCATACTTGAAGAATTTTTCCTCCCTCTCTCCTCTCTTCCTCCTCTGTTTCCCTCTGATGTAATTCTGTGGGCTTTACAGGTCCCCGCTGGGCGGAGGGCTGGAGATGGAAAACATCTGATTTTTAGATGTTTTCAGGGGCTCATGTGTTTCAGAGGGGTCTGCGTCCCCCGCTGCAGGACGCTCTGCTGGTTAGCGGGCGCTGAAGGACCCAGCTGACTCCACACAGGCGCGTGGCTGTTGCTCAGAGAGGATGTAAAATAGGTGCGTGACAGTTTTCATTCATGTGTGACTGCAGGTTTGGACAAAGTTACAGTGTGCTGATTCAAAGCATAGACTGTAAGTAAAGATGGAGGAAGGACTCCTGGGACTGGGAGACATTTTTAGTCCCTCGTGCTGTTTTATTGCTGCAAGAATGTGTTTGGATGATGTTTGCAAGCCTTGTTGGTAGGTCACGTCCAACCTGAGCCGGACTGCACACCTGCAGCCACCTGCCCACGCCCCTAACTGCAGACCTTAGCGATGTGAGTGTCTTTGGGGAGTGACTCAGTTTTGAAGCTGCCTTTAGTTTAGACGTGTGGTGTGAGACGACACCTGAAGGCACACTCAGGGCTTTATGGTCCAAATTTATCACCAGCTTCATGACCCGATGACCTCCAACCTCCGACTGACCTCCACCCTCTCACCACGAGTTTTGTATTACCATGGTGCTCCGTGACTTCCTGGCGTGCTTTTGTTTGAGGATTTTGCAGCAATATTTGCACTTTGTGCATGAAGAGAGCAGCAGTGCAGTCTCACAGCGTGGTGCGCTCAGGCTGCGACCTCGTCTGAATTTTAAATCCTGCTCAGATCACAAAGAGTCTGAAAACCTCACAGTTCTACCGACACAAGTTTAGCAGAGGTCAGCAACTTCCCAGTGATTCCTTCAAAATAAGATTTGATGCTGGGGACAATACTTCCAGGCTTCTAATGAAACCATGCAGATATTTACCTTCATACGTCCTCAAACAGGAACGAGTCAAACTTGATTTTAAGCTACAGAAGAAGAAGATCAGTCAGCTGATGCAGCTTCACACTGAGATGATGTAAATTTGACAGTTTGAAACATAATACCAAACTCATTATTGTATAATTACAATTATTACAAATGAATGATCCTAATTCTAAATTGCAAACAAACTAAAACGGTTCATTTACCTGAGTATTAATATTTGATTGTTCTGTGTAGCTAAAGCATCTGTAATGCTCGTACACATGCATGCAGTGTTGTGTGCTCCCTCGTGTGCTTCACAGAGCTCACCGTCTTTACTGCCACCTTTAACTGCAGACCTCAGAAGTCTTCGGTTTGCCCCCGCGGCAGGTCGGCGGTGCTTTTGCGGTTCCCGTGGGAGCTCAGAAATGACTGAAATACCACAGAAACCAGGAACACATGCGCGATGAAGCGAAGGCTAATTGTACCACATGTGCGGCGGGCCGAGCCAAGCCAGCAACCAGAGCTGGAGCTTGTAAAAGTGGGAAAAGAGCGATTGAAGCTGACGCCCACGTCTTGATTGTCCCGTCAATAACTGTGACAGATCGAGTCTGAGGAAACAGCCGGTGCGGGTCACTGATTTATTTGGTTTCCATGGAGGTTTCTGGCACTTTCTGACCCACTAATGACCCAAACGACTCTGGTTTGTGTCAAAGCTCAGCCTGAGCATCGAGTTCGCTGTTATAGAGTCCAGAGTTTCTGTCCACCTGATCCATATTTGTTAGAACGTAATTGGTGAATTTTATACACATGAAAGTAAGAAAAGTGGAAAGTCCTGCAGAGACTGTGGAGCTCTGAGTGCTGCTGTCCCACCACAGCTCAGTCTAAAAACTGCAGCTCTTTGTCCAGATGTGCTGCCAAACAGGAAGTGATGCGTGAACACCTCGTGAGTTAGAATCTCTTGGCTGCAGGGATCCAGACATGTGCAACATTCACAATACAGGGCGTTCACAGAGCTCCGATTCCCATTAAAGCATCACTCACCGTGTTTTGCTGGGGTTAAATCCACTCAAGCTTCCCCTGCCACCCCCTGACCCTGCTCATCGCAGTCATGCCTGACGGTTTGTCGCACTCGTGAATGACGGCGTCGCCGCTGCTCGTGCACGTCTTCATTTCTGTGACCTGCTGTGCAAAGCTGGGCTCTGCGAGCAGCAGTGTAAAGCTCAGGCCTGTTTCCTGTCGGAGCAAACTTCCAACAAGCACTCATCAAAGAGAAATCGTGACAATGTGGAGAAATGAGTTTTATCTGACCTGAAGATGCTGAACACAGTGAACCGCCTGACCTGCTCCACATATTCTAATGTCACCCTTTTCTGACTGGCTTTCACCTACAAGCAGCAGGTGGGGGTGGAGATGCCCGTATGCCACACCCATTCAGTGACATCATACATATGAAACTGTACTTAGAGCAGTCTGACCTTAATGAGCCCAAACCACAGTAACTGAAGGTTATTAATTATGACAAATAAAGTTAAAAACTGTTGATCAGCTGCTCAGAAGCTGAGGCTCTTCATGCTGATGAAGCAGTGTGTGGCTAAAGTGGGCGGAGACAGAGTTTAGCGCTGTGGCGAGCGGACCTCCTCAGAGGGAGCTGCTGCTGTCACACTTTAATCCTAACGTGAGGAAACAGGCGGCCGCTGAGGTTTTCCTGCTGCTGCACATGTTTCATATCCTGTTGTTTGATTGACGGATTCGATGCTCCTGATGTTTAACTTAGTTTAAGTTTAGTGGAAACAGAGCAGGTCGCTCCCTCAGGGGAAAGTTGGAGGAAGAAATGAGGAAAGAAGCCATTTAAGTCTGAGAGGAGGTGAAGTCATAATGACAGCAGAGGGAACGGCTCATTAGCAGGGCGAAGAGTCTGTCTGACAGCCAGGACATCACAGGCTGAAACAGAGGCGACGAACGAAACAAGCAAGAAACCCAAAGTAAGGAAGAGGAGCAGGAAGAAGACGCTCATAGAGGAAACCAGGAGCAGCCCGGAAATACAGTTTCCTCCAAAGTTTCGAGACGACAACGAGAAGGAACGAGCTTTTCTTCGTCTGCACTGGTGCAAGTTTGGAACTCATTTCATATCTCCAGTTAAAAGGACTAAATAAATAATCAATAATCCATCAGTACTGATGGAGGCCCGTGTACGGCGTCTGAACCTGGATGGCTCTACGCCTTCAGAAACTGCGCTCGCCCACGCTCAGCAGGTCGGCGTGGAGACGAGAGGACGCTTGTTTGAAATAACTTAACAGTGAATCACTCTGAATGTTTCAAACATTAAAAATAAATAAATCAAGAAGATGAAAGAGAAATGAAACATTTTACGGTCCATTAATCGTGCACAACATCCAGAACTTCCTCTTAACTCTGAGAATCACAATCTGGTCGTTAAGTCTGACGTCACCAGTCGTGTCTGGGCTCAAACTCCGCTGCAGGTCCATAAATCAAACGATCCCGGCAGGATCACTGAGAGTGGAAAAACTGTCTAAAGTCTTTCATCTTTAATAAAATGATCAGCGTTCTGCTCTACCAGGTGTAACAATTGAGTTTA